TTTGCCCAAGATTTATCTACATGACACACAGTAATTAAAAATACCAGGCTGGAGGAACTAACCTTCTTGGGTGTTTAACAGACATACTTTGAGGCCTATAGTAACTTGGTCAGAGGGACATAAAGGACACTTTTTGCTCCTTGCCCTCCAGGGGACTATGAGCATCTCTCAAAATGTCCTATAATGGTGGTGGGTCACCTGTCCTCTTGATCAAGGAGTCCGAGGAGGAGGCTGAGGAGACCCCACCAGATGGACTTGAACCAGTGTCCAGTCTATAAGGAGGAGGGTCAACACAGAGGAATCATTTCCTCCATTTTTCCAAGCAAAACCAACCATGGTCGAGCAGGACCTTTGACTTATCTTCACATAGGCGGAACTCATAAAAGAAAGGAGCCAGGTGCTCCTCCCAAGCCCATGTGACCCCTGAGGAACAGATCCTCAAAGGACCTTAAAAGTAAAAATAAATTGGTTTATTCTACCAACTATATGGCCTTAAACACCCAAAAGGAAAGTATAACCAAAGATTAAAGGCGCCAATATAATTTCATAAGAGTCCATACGTATAGCTAAAGGCTACGTAACAAGCAACAATGCCAGACAGGCAATACCTTCTTTTGAGTTGTTGGCCAGGGTGGCCAAAGGATTCCCAGATAGTAACCCAGCATAGAACTGGGAAAATGAACAGCAGACCCCAATCTTATCCAGAATATTGACAACTAGATGACGAACAGCTGACCCTCCCAAAACAAAGACCTCTAGATAGGCTGACTAGATTCACCAGAAGGGCAAGTAGCGGAATGGCTAGGGGTGCTGACAACACAGCAGACAGTAGCAGGGATATCAGAGTATAAGGCTCTAGTTGGGGGAGGGAGGCTCTGGGAGGGTGCTATCTGGGAAGTGGGTGAAAAACAAAACAAAACAAAAAAACAAAAAAACAAACTTCAAAGCATAAAAATTTGCTCCTTAATTAGTGGATGTGAAAAACATTACCATTGAAATCTACCTGACGACTTTAGACCTTATATCCATGCTCAGGTGCCAAGGATCTCAGAAAGTAACCGACTCTGACTAGTAATACTCAGGTACATAGAGATTAGAGATGCATATGCAAACATCTAAGTGTTGGTAGCATTAAAAATGATATTGTTTTCTGTATGAAACAATATATTTTAAAATGAAATGCAGATGTTTCTTAAAGGTTAAAACCTCATTCAATTTTATGTCTTATGGGCTTTATACAGAGTTCAATATTGTATAACTGTATTAATTCAACTGTGAACCTAAAAATTTACAGTCAATTTTGAAAGAGATATATCTTAGCTCTGGAAATTGTTATTGAATATGTCAATGCTGTTGTAATGAAATGCTTCTTCTAATTATATGGTTATTAAATAAATAATTTTTAAAAAAAAGTAAAGGTGGCTGGGTCAGCAGAGTAGACCCAAGTTTGGGCAGCTTGAAGTAGATGTGTCTCCAGGAAAAAAAACCCAAGGTAATTACTGCAAAAACTGGTAACATTCATTCAGAATAAAAGAAATCACAACAAATTAAACATTTTTAAAAAGAGACTAAAAACACAAACATCACAAAAGCCAGAAATATGATTTTTTAAATTTATTTTTGGTACGTTGATACTTTTAAAATTATCTCTTCATGTAGCAACTTTGAGATACAATTTTTCAAGGAAAAGAGAGGTAACATAAGTCTCTCTAATGGCTGATTAAAGTTCTAACTTATTCTACAGAAAAAAAAAAAAGAAAAAAAACAGGCTGATTACAGGCCAGTGGAGCAAGCCAGTAAGCAGCAGTCCTCCATGGTCTTTGCTCCACATTCCTGGCCTGAGTTCCTGCCTTAGCTTCCCTTGATGATGGACTGTGCTTGTAAGCCAAATAAACCCTTTTCTACCCCCCTCCCCCCAAAATTCAAAGCTGCCAGACATGGTGGCACACACCTTTAGTCCCAGCACTTGGGAGGCAGAGGCAAGTTGATCTATGTGAGTTTAAGGCCAGTCTGGTCTACATAGCGAGTTCCAGGCCAGCTGGAGATACAGGGAGACCCTGTCTCAAAAAGACCAAAAAAGAAAGAAAGAAAAAAAAGCAAAGCTATGAGGGGCCCTAGAGGTCCCCAAACAATAAAGGCCACTGCCAATAATGTTGGTTGTACTCCAGAAGTGGATAGAGGGACCCTACTGCTGAAGACACTACTTGATGTGAGTGCAGGAGAGGGAGAAATCAAGCTTGAACTAAGCTGGAAACTCCCTATCACTGGATGGATGGCATTCGTGGTGCCAAAAGGCAATATGCAGATGATTGGAGGAGAATCATCCCCTATAATTCTGCTCAACGATGGACCCCACGTGTTGCACTATCAACATACCAAACAAGATATTCCTGCTGGTGCAATAGTGGAATGTCTAGTGTTATGCACAACCAGCAAATTTTTGACTGGATAAAATGCCTGCTCCTAGGGGTAGAACATACATCTGGTACCACAGACCCAGCCAACCCCCTGTGGCAGGGGAGAATATAGGCCCCTGTGGGATGCCACTGCAATTGTTTTGTTAGATGGATGTAATGCACCTACTAGAGTACCACCTAAGCATTTGTGTTTACACCCATAGGTTAAGTTATTATAGCAGCCACTGTTTAGATGTTCTTGCTTCTTGCTGTTTGTGTTTTTATAGTAGATGGAATATCACTGAAATGGGCCAACAGCCCATGGAAAACTGACCCGAAAGTCCATTGCCTTGCCACAATAGGAGGAAGATCATCCCACACCTATCACCCGCTCCAAGGCTCAAGGACTTTGGCAGAAGAGGCTGGTAGAAAGAATTTGAGTCTGAGAAAGGGGTGAAGTGCTAACTGGAAGTGTCCTCTGACCACTATGCTAGCCAGGTATAGTCACACCTCCTTCCCACACTCATCAAGGAGTCAAGCGGGAGTCAGGCACCCCTCCCACCCAATCAGTCAACCTTAGCTACATGTAGGGGAGGGGCTAAGGATATATAAGCTGAGAATGTGAGGAGGCACCTCCTCACCATTTTTTGTGGCTGTTGGTCAGAAGTCACAAGATCTGTATTTGAGTGTGGACTTTCCAGTGCAGCCATAAATGGAGTGGGGGCACTCCACTGTAAATAAAACCCCACCCTATGCTCTGTTTAAAAAAAAAAGAAAGAAAGAAAAGGAGTACATACCCATTTACAAAAGCCTCAATAAAATATCTAGGAATAAACTTGACCAAAGACATTAAAGAGCGCTACAATGGAAAAAAAAAAAGGAACTTGTTTTTTGGAAACAAGGTATCCCTGTAGCCCCAGCTGACCTGGGACCTGCTATATAGATCAAACTGGCCAAGATCTCACAAAGATCTGCCTGCCCCTGCCTCTGAATGCTGGGATTAAAGGTGCGTACCCACCACCTCTATACAAAAGAAGTTGACAGAACTGAAAGTCATCTGAAAAGAAGACTAAAGGGGGTGGCGCACTGCTGCACTTCTTGAAGGCAGAGGCAGAAAACGGGCCAAGGTCATTCTGGTTATACAGCTAGGTGGATCTGAAGATCAAAATGAAGCCAAAACAAGTCAACACAACAGCAGCACTACTCATAGCAGATTCTCATTTTCCTAGGTAAGTGTGTGTAGGCCACAGCAGCATGCCCTTGGGTGTAGGCAGTGCCAAAGGAGTCTTTCCTTCTTGAGCCTGCCTGCAGGGATGGCTCTTCTTTCAAAGTGGGCTGTGAAGGCATGCTAAACACCAGCATCACAGTGTTTTAAGATGTTATTTTATTGGAATGAAAAATGAGGAATATTAGCTTGTGGCAGAATTCCCTGCAGCTATGATAACTTATCTTGTTTGGTCTTCTGGCACCAAAACCAGCATAGTAAATTTTGTTCTGTTCATCGCATCTAAAATTTGAAGAGCATGAGCTTGATGTGTAGAGCACCTTTGGTGTACTGTTACCAACTTTACTTTTAAAAAGTGAACCTGCTATAGATTTTACATGTTTTGTTAACTAGAGTTCCTAGTCACAATGCATAGTTTTACTTTCCTAATTACAAATGTTGAGGTCTACTTCAGAAAGCCCTCATACTTAAAAAAATAGAAAATGAAAAATTTAACTATTATATGTCATTTTCAAACTGTACTGCTTTATGGAAAAAGTATTTTCCAATTTGTTCATTGGTATCTTGGAATACAACATAATCCTTCCACTCTTGAACAAAGAAGCTGCCTTGCAAAAGCTGTAACTGTTTCTTCCCTTTTATTTCTTTTGTAAATGAAGCTTGTCTTTAAAAATGTGACTTTAAAGTGTTGTCTATTGCATAAACAGTCAACATTTATTGTAAAGTGAAGACTGTGCATGGGCCATGCAGATTTCTTTATGTTCTTGGTATACATCAGTTGATATTGGAAAAAAAAAAAGCAAAGGACTCAGAAGGCAGAGGCAGGTATATCTCCCTAAGTTTGAGGCCAGCAAAGGCTACATAGTGAGACCCTGTTTCAAAATAAATAAACAAGCAAATTCTGATGACATGAGAAGGTACACAGAATGGAAACTGAATATAAAACTGTATATACAGTATAACCACAAATAATTAAAGATAGCAAGAGAGAGGCTGGAGAGATGGCTCAGCAGTTAAGAGCATTGGCTGCTCTCTCAGAGAACTCAGGTTCAATTCCCAGCACCCAAAGGGCAGCTAACAACAGTCTCTAACTCCAGTTCCAGGGGATTCAATGTCCTGTTCTGACCTCCATGGGCAGTGCAAAATACAGGTGCACTTACACATATGCAGGCAATACATTCATAGACATAAAAGAAAAATAATAAAGTAATTTTTCTTAGTTTTAAGAGAAAATTTAGAATAAATTAAATATTCTGATAGTATCAGAATATTTAACTTTCTTCTTTTCACTTTAATTTTCCCCAATTTTACCTAATGAGAACACACTGTAGAATTATGAAAATAAGATATATTTAAAGTGGCAAAGAACTTAATGATACCTGACAGTGATAGTGTGCCTGTAACTTGGAAGAAGTTTTTCCATATTCAAAAACCGGGTTATTTCTTCAAGAATTAGTCGCACATCAGGATTTAAGTTATCCAGAGTTCTAACTTCATTATTCACACTGACCGCAGGTGTGACGGAGTTGGCCAGGGCATCGATCATTTCTGCACGATAATAGTTATCTGAAAACTAAGTCAAAGAATAATTAGGATAAAATTAGCCTTTCTGATGAGATGTTAATAAAACACATACAACTTGAAAACATTACTTCCGCTCAGAATATAGCCCACAAGTACAGCACCCCTCTAGCATGCATAAAGTACTGGCTTCATCATCACCAGCACCACCACTCTTCCCCTCCCCTACACAAAGTGAAAACAATTTTATTTTGAGATGGGGGTCACATCATGTAGCCCTCAAACTCAGAGATCCACCTGCCTCTGCCTCCTGAACACTGGGATTAAAGGTGTACACGACCACACATGGCCTGCGAAAATATAATTTATCTAAATCATAAGAAACTTTTTTAGTAAATATTCAACTCTGTCCTTTGTATGCAGTGATACTTTGGAAAACAGAGTGAAAGAAATTCATTAATTATTGACATACTAGCATATCAAATAAACATTTCCTACGTGTAAGGCCCTCTTGTGATCTAACTAGATACTCTAAAGATTATAATCTAACATGGCTGTGGAGAATGTTCAGTGAGTAAAATATGTGCCATTAAGTATGAGGACCCCTGAGTTCACATTTTCAGCATTCACATAAATGCTGGGTACCAGCCCATCTTAATTCCAGCGCTCAGGAGATGGAGACAGAATCCCTAGAGTAAGCTAGCAAGCTCTGGATTTAAATGAGACTGTGCCAGTATATAAGGTAAAGAGCAATCCAGGAAGTCACTTGACATCAATCTGTGGCCTCCACATGCCTGAGGACACATGTGCACAGATATTTGCACATACATGTGCTCTCTCACATGCATATGAACACACACACAAACCAGACATACAAACAGAATTTTTAAAATTTATAGTCCACAGGGATTGGACATGGCTTAGTGGTTGGGAGCACTGGCTGCTCTTACAGAGGATCCGGGTTCAATTCCCAGCACCCACATGGCACCTAACAACTGTCTATAACTAGAGTTCCAGGGGTTCCGACGCCCTCCTCTGACCTCCAAAGTCATTTCATGACACAGGTGCACTTATATGCATGCAGGCAATACACTCATACACATTAAATAGTAAGAAAAATTATAATCCACAAATCCTGCTGTCAATACACAGCTTCCAATGAGCCAATTAGTGTTTATTTTAAAATATAAACATGGCACATCTAAAGATCACCAGATAATTGAGGAAATCATCAACATAAAAACAAAAGAACTCAGGCAGCTGGAGGGATGGCTCAGCCATAACTAGTAACTGCTTACTGCTCTTGCAGCAGACCCAAATGCAGTTCCCAGCACCCACACGGAGACCAAGGGACACCTATAACTTCAACACCAGGGCATCCCATGCTCACTCTGGCCTCTGCAGGCTCCTGCACAAACATGGTACACATACAGAGGAACAGACACACACATTTTTTTTAGTCTCTGGCTACATTAAAAAAAAAAAAAACCCGAACACAAAGAAAAGGAGTAACTTGGAAGAACAAGTAATTCAAAGAACAGAAAATTCGAGGATTAAGAGAAAAAACTAAAAAAATCCAAAAACTTATCAATATGGCCTGAGAAACAAACAGTCCTGTTCCTTCCACATCATGACGCTGTGTAACTCCCTCCCTCCATATTTTACTTAGTCCATAGGCCTGTGGCTTCTCCAACAAGCACTTGCGTGTGCACACACATATAGCACACACATAAATAAGCACATTTTAAAAATAAAATTGTGCTTCAGGCCTGATGTGGTGATGTATGCCAGTAAAATCAGTACTTGGGAGATGGAGACAGGAAGATTAAGAGTTCAACTCAGCTACACTCCAAGTTCAAGGTCAGCCTGAAAGTTATGCTGTTAGACTTCATAGACATTTATGCATTACTACTGCCATAGAGCATAAGAGGTTCGAGGAACACTTAACAATCAATTAATTTTGCTTCCATTAACTGGTTATTCCAATAAATCATGTTCCTGTACCTCTAACTCTAGAAAAGTACTACGTGCTCACAAAAGACCCTACAAACTAGGTATTTCTGTTCTTTTTTTGCAGTCCTAGAGACTAACACCCTTACACATTATTGTAAAAACAAAGCATCACTGAGTATTTTATAATATTCACTAAGAAAAGTGCTGTACCTTATTTTTTCTGTTGTCGTTGTACTTGATTAAGTCTAAAATAAATGTTAAGACTTCTTTGGGACAAAGATTATGTACATCTCTTAGCAAAGCCATCGCAACTGGCATAGTCTACAAAAAAGAAAGAAAATATCTATGAGCACATAATCCAACCTACCAGTACTATGATTATTTGTACTATAAATAGAAAAAGAGTTACTCAGGGATTGACACAGACATCTGGATAAAGCTGAGTGCTGTTTCCCACCTGTTCCCACCAAGAACACATTTAAAAGCCTTATAACTGAAGAAGTGGATAGGTGACTGAGGGGAGAGCTGTATTCTGGATGTACTACAGGCCAAGTTGCCTTGGTCCTCATTCTCTGGAAGAAAGTATACATAACACAAATATCAATTCAGTTAAGTGATACATACATTAGTTTGTTAGTTAACTCCCAACTTCACAATCTACTACTCTGGGTAAGCTAGCTGCTTCCTGAGTAGGAGTCTTACTTCCTTATGACCATTTTTAGTGTTAACTGATATACTGGCTGGAGGCATGAGACAATCAGTTTTTGAACACTGATTCTCTAGTAACATTCAACCGCCACACAAATAGTAAATTACTTGAAATTCAGCCCACCTTTCTTCTTTCCAAATTTTCAAACACAATTTTTCTGTTAATAGAAACATGGCGCACACACATACACAATGGTAAATTCAGCCAGAGAAATAAAATTAATTAAACCCTAGGCAGAACAATAGATACACAGAATGCTTAGTCCCATTTAGAACATGGACAGATCAAGACTCTTTCCTCTAAACTAGACAATCAGAAAAGAGATGGCACATTTTCTTGCATAAAGGAGCAGAAGCAGCTAGGCATGACGGTACAGACTCTCAATCCTAGCACTCAGGAGGGAGGCAGAGGTAGGAAGCTGGGCTACCTACTGGGTGAGATCATGTCTCAAAAAAAAAAAAAAGGTAAAGAAGTTACTTTTTCACTGACAACTTGGCTGGCTCTACAATTATCTAGGAGATACACTCTGGGCATGTCTGTGATCTGTGAGGGAATTTCCAGAGGTTTAACTAAGGATGGAATCCTATGCGGGTGGTCCCATCCCATGGACTAGGGTCTCAGACAGAACAAAAAGAAGTGAGTTGAATGCCACATTCATCTTTCTCGGCTTCCTGACTGCAGATGCCGTGTGACCAACCACCTCATACTCTCCGCATCATGCCTAACCTGACATGGTGGGCTGAATCCTCTCAAGCTGTGAACCAAATACAAACCTTCCTTCCTTAAGTTGCTTTTGTCAAGTATTTTGTCATAACAATGAAAAAGTAACTAATGGAGCCAGTGTTAATTCTGTAAGACAATCTGAGGGGAAAGTTATTTTTTCACAGAAATATATGTTCTTTGCCTAGTCTACACTTTTGTAATTTTAATTTGTTTGATTTAGGCACCAATTTTCTCTCTTTTCTGCCAACTAGAAGTACTATATTAAAGTGAATTAGTCTAAAGCATTAACCTTACATGCTTTTTACTTCAACCCACAGTAAGAAATAAACTTTATACTACAACCTAACACACACACACACACACACACACAAATCAATTTTTAATGTATTATATTTGAGGAGGAAGTGAATAGACCTCAGTGGATGGACTTGCACTGGGGAACATCCATAAAAAGAAAAAGTAAAACAAATGTTTACAATTACTTTTATCATACACATATCTTCGATACTGTCTAGACTATTTTCTTTAAAAAAACAAAACAACAAAAACCCCACCTCTACTTTAATTTTAAGACTCCTCACTCATTGTTCCCAATCAAGACCTTATTCAAAAGACCAAGCAGAGCTCCACACTTACCTAAGGGAAATGGGGTGCACTGGCATGATGAAGAGCATTCGGAAGACAACTTTAAGGAATTTGCTTCCATAGGACTAGCAGTGTGCTTAGTCCTATCAACAGGCCTTGAAGAAAGTGTTCCAGAGCACACCTCTGGTCCTTACATGTTTAGACTTCTCTTCCACAATGTTCCCTGAGCTGCAGAAGGGGTCTGACTTGTTTTCAATTTCCTTTCTACCATCTACTTCCTGTGCTTACCTGTTACTGTTTGGTTTGCTCTATTTTTCACATTGCTTTCTTCCACTTAAGAACCTCTTCTCCTTTACACCAAACATACCTGAAGGCTCTTAAACAAAACGAATCCAAAGTATCTTTTTCTCAACTTTGCTTTATCCTCAATAGTTTCTTAAATTCTCCAATGAAAATCATGCAGTTTTGTTGCTTTTCGCTACTTTCAACATAAATTCAATCTAATTAATCTAATCTGTTTCATTGTTATGACTCAAAAAACTCACAAATGATTTCCAAATCACTCACAAAATAGTCACATTCCCATATTCTCTCTGAAAACAATGACTCTAACCATATTATACTACCATTTTCTAAAATTAACATTTCTAGAAAACTTCCTCTGACCATAACAGAAAACATTTTGTATATTTGACCTAATTTTTAAAATGAAAAATCTTAAATGTTATATGGTTGATATGAAACAGCAGAGTTTAAAAACACGTCTATGTGCTGAAGAGCATCAATCTGCTAGTGAGCATCAAACTGAGGCTAAATCTATATCCGTGGACACCTTCTTGACTGTTGAGTGACGTGGGAGGGCCCAGCCCACTGTGGGTGGTGCCACCCCTGGGCAGGTAGGCCTGTGTTGCATAAGAAAGCAGGCTGAGCAGGGGCCAGGAAGCAGCATTCCTCCATGGCCTGTGCTCCAGCTCCTGCCTCCAGGTTCCTGCCCCGAGTTTCTACCTTGGGCTCCCTGATGAACTGTGATCCAGGAGATGTAAGACAGATAAACCCTTTCCTCCCCAAGTTGGTAGTGGTCAGAGTGTTTTGTCACAGCAATGGAGAGACAAACTAGGACAGTAGACGTGTAAGAAACGCATAGTATTATATGAAGTTTCCAAGTTAAACTAAAATACACAGATTATGGTAATAAGTTAAATATAAAAGTATCATATGAACATTAGAAAATAAAGAGTACCTTCTGCAGAAAATAACTCTGAAAGCTCATAAAGTTGTTTGTTTTCACAATGTTTGGACAAGTTTTACAACAAAACATTCTCGTAAAGAGTGACTTCATAGCTGGTGGTCCTGTCCATGTGCTCACCATGGAGTTTGCAATCTGCAAATTATTAGAAAATGGAGTGCTTTCCATTACCAGTATAAATACACTTTTAAAATACATAAAATAGCTTCCTAATGGTCAATAACTACCAATATTGCAAATAAATACAATTTGGTCTTTTATTATCATTTCCAAGAAAATATACAAGCTCACTCGACCCTTCCCAAACAACAACAAAAACCCACACAATGTGGAATGTGGTGGCACAGCCTTTAATCCCAGCACTTGGGAGGCAGAGGCAAGCGAATCTCTGTAAGTTCAAGGCCAGCTTGGTCTACATAGTAAGTTCCAGGCCAGCTGGGCCTACAGGGAGACCCTGTCTCAAAAAGGCCAAAAAAAAAAAACCAAAAAAAAAAAAAACAAAAAACTAAAAACCAAACAAAACCAAAACCAAAACCACCCAAACAAAAAATTCCAAGTCTTCTTATAGCTTTATACAAGTTAGTTTCTAAATTGCAGCATTCTTTTATATTTAAGAAAATAAAGTTTGCAAAGGCTTCTTCTCCTCTGAATAGGTTTGTCTCTATCCATTTACGTAGACAGAATTGTAGTATTTTAAATTTATCAGATGAAAACATCACCAGGAATCTACTCAAGTGAAAACCAAGTCAAATACAATGGATTATTTTGGTATGAATGCTGAAGCAGAGCTGAGACAGGCGGGATGTTGAGTTCCAGGCTGGCCTGGGATACATAACAGACAATTTAAATAAATAAATCAATGACAGGGACAAGGCCAGGAACCTTTAACTGCTTCCAGGCTGACACGTGCCACAAAAGCCAATGTTGGAGGAAGAGGTGTCTTCCCATATTCAAGTCCAGTCGAGATCCTATTCTTGCTGGTAAAAATCATTACACACTGTTGGAGACTGACAACTCAGAACTACCAATTCTGAACTACAGCTTAAGTCTCCAAGCCTCCAGAGTCTCTCCATTCTATAGCTGATGAAGCTTTAATTGTGCTGCAAGTCCACCAAGCTATAGAGGCTACAGAAAGCAGACTCAGTGTCACTGGTGTTATTTAATATTATCTGGGAGCATGAAAAAGATTCATGCCACACAGAGGAAAAATATCTAAATATCAAAAATTTAATTATTGTGAAAAAAATGCAAAATGTAAAAAAGGAAAAGAGCCAGGCATTGTAGCGCACGCCTCTAATCACAGCACTCGGGAGGCAGAGGCAGGCAGATCTCTGTTGAGTTAAAGGCCAGCCTGGTTTACATAGCCAGCTTCAAAAATACCAAAAATAAATAAATACATAAATATCTTTAAAGAATTAGCAAAATACAAAAACAAATTAACATTTTATAGGCGTTGGGAAAAGGGATTTTCAGTAAAGTACTAACATTGAAAGCATTCATTTCTTTAATTTTGTTAATTCTTTACTATGGAAAAACTTAGGATGTCAGTTCTGTTTTAACTAACAAAATTCAGGGCTGAAGAGATGGCTCAATGGTTAGGAGCACTGCTCTTGCAGAGGACCCAGATCAATTCCCAGGACCCACATGGTGGCTAACAACAGTTCGTAACTCCAGTTCCAGAGGATTTGACACTCTCTTCTGACCTCCACAGGCACTCTATGACAGAAGCACGTGCAGGAAAGTATACTCATACACGTAAAACAATAAAAAATATTAACTAACAAAACTGATAGCTGAAAAAGGACACATAACTTGGATTACAAAATTGTTTGCTTTAATAAGAATCACTTAAGTAGTGGAAAAAAGAATGCTTTAGCAAAAAATCCTCTTACTAGTGAAATTTTTAGGGAATATAAAAAACTATGAAATGAATGAAATTATGATTAATTTATCCTGAATTTTATGACTCTGCTATGATTTTAACATACAAAATTCTTCAAAGAGGGAAGGAAAACATATCCTAATATCTGAAACATAGAAATTCAACTATATGTTATCATTAAAGACAAAACAAAATAAATGATTATAATCTGCTGAAGTGGGAATAAACCTATTAACAAAATACTTTTTAAATATTTAGTGGACGTATTTCTGTCTTAATTTTTCTGGTTTCAGATTTTTTAAAAATCTGAAGTCTTGATAAATGAACTTTTCTAGCATGTTAAATTACTTAGCACTATTTTTAACTCCTGGACCAAAATCAGCATAAAACTACCACAATGGAATTAAAATTAATTAGTTTTTTGTATTCATATGTGAAAAAAATTAAAGAATTAATCACAGAATTTTTTTTTGTATTCACCTGAATCCCCAGGAATCTTTCACCTATTTTTTACTTAGGTTTCTTTTTTTCAAATTCCAACCAGAAGCTAAATACAAATGGAAACCGGTAAGCACTACTTTTACTCTAATGGAGTAGGGTGATTCATATTTACTCTAACAAAGTATGTTACCCTTAAGCAAAGCTTTTCTTCATTAAAAAAAATAAAATAAAAACAAAAACAAAGAAGCTATACAGTAGTTTTCCTTTCATTCACTGCACAAGTGAGCTCTGCTTTCAGAATTCTCGACATTCTGGTTACTCTTACAATTTAAGAACCTCACTTTTACACCTTTTTTCTATTACAAACACCCATACTTTTTTTTTTAGGATAATGTAAAAACCAGTATTTCTGCACAAGTCTCTGAAATTTTTTTCCAAGTAAAATTTCTAACACCTAAAAATAAGACAGAATTTTGCAGCTATGACTATGTCCCTCAGTTTTATAGCTGCTTTACCACTCCAGACTCCAGATCTGCTTTAACATGCATACATGCATTTGTATGCAGCAGAACACATTATAAGAGCAACTCAGGGAATGAGAAAAAATACATGTACTTATGAGTACCAAGAAAACAAACCAAACATGGTGCAGTACATATGAGGCAGAGACACCACCGATGAGATGTTTCTTTTCTCTTTAAGATTTCTTTCTTGTCATTAGAATGAATCCGAAAGTGCTCTGGAACGACGATGATTATAGCAAAGCTATAAGCTTTTAAATGTTATTTATACCTGTTATATTTACTTGTCACCCTCAGTGCCGATGACAGATGTCAGAGGCAAAAATCAGCACAAACAAAATCACAGAATTTCTAATGACGATTTTTCTTTGCCTACAAATATGGTGGGCAGCGAGAGTGGCAGCTCAGAAGGAAGAAGCAGGGGAAGCTCTATAAGTTCCAGGCCGGCCAGGGCTACACAGGGAGGCCCTGTCTCAAAATTAAAATAAAAAGGTTTACAATTAAAATTGGAAAAATTCTCTGTGGTTTTGTAATCTGGTTTTCATTTTTCATTTCATTTTTTATACATATGTATTTTTAAGTCAAAACCTGTGTCTTTCAAATGCACACTGTTAAAAGCATTAGGTATAAGCTTTCAAAGGAATAGTTACCAAGTAAAGCTTAAAGACTAATGAATATTAATTCAATTTCAGAGGCTTTTTGTAAAATACACAATAATCTCACAGTCGTCTTTCTTCTGTATAATCTCACCTTTGCAAGGCAGAAGCAAGCTGACATTCTTACACGGTAGAAGCACTGCTCTTGTTCCAGAATGTCAGTAAGTGCAAGACGGGATGCTGGAGTAGGGAATTTTTCCAAGGCCAAGATGGACTCCTGCTGGGCAACAACATCCCTCTCATAGCGGAGTTGATACTGCCACATAAAATCAGCTTGCTCAAATTCTACCTTCCTCAGCACTGACATGTCTGGGTCTATTCTTATCCACAGTAAAGGGGAATCAGCACTAAAAGAACATAAATTTTAAAACTTTAATTTTTAAAACTTACCTTTAGAAAACAAAAGCCAAAACAGTACTAACCAGATTCTCCTTTAGACATAGTAGTATCCTGCTGTTGAAAGTTTAACTATAGTCATTTAATTTTCTACAACGAAATTCTCACTGTGTTTAATATATGTTAACTTTCTTATAATCATATTAGAAAGACCTTCAAGAATACAAAGAGTTGTCACAAAGGATACTGAACTTCAAATTTACCATCAGAAAATATTATTCTGAACATTTTACTTAATTATGAGATGTCAAAAGGCAAATGATACAAACTTTATTTAACCTCCTATAACCTAACAATCGACTATAGCTATGATCGTTATCCCTTATAGAAACCAAAAATAAAATGAAAACATTTTGCTAAATTAATTTTAGTTGACATTTAATACCTTTTTAAAATGCTAGATTCATGATTAAGTTACTAAGTTCTGAAACCATAACTTGAAGGCACATGAGTTTATTCTCATGTATTCCAAGTAACAGGCAAGGCTTAAAATTCAAGTCTGTGTCAATACTTTCAATAAAAGAACAGCACTTTGTAATACAAATTCAATCCAATACTGGGTACTCACAATAGGCAATATACTTGGTATAAAATACTTAATACTGAAGCAATATTAATCAAATGTCATCACAATCAGTATGGTGACATGCACCTGTTATCCTCACCATGTGGTAGGTAAGAGGCAAGAAGATTATGAAATTGAGGCCAGGAGTCTGGAGAGCTGGCTCAGCAGCAGTTAAGAGCTTTTGCTGCTCTTGCAGAGGACCCAGATTCAGTTCTCAGCACCCACATGGATACTCACAATGGTCTGTATGTTTAGTCCCAAGGTATTAAACTCCCTTTCTGGTCTCTGTGGGCACTGCATGCATGTGGTACACTTACATACTTACAGGCAAAAAACATATACATATAAAATGTAAATAAATGAAACTTTAAAAAAAAAAGGATTCCAGGCCAGCCTAAGGAGGACTACCTGGGCTATATGAGACCTTGTCTCAAGAAACAAAAAAATAAATACACATCTTTTAAAATTTAGAAGAGTAGTTTCAAACTGTGTGCTAGCATGGGGAATCTCAAGGTGTCCTAGAACCTTGCTCCAAAGACAATCATTATCCCTTGGAATTAACTAACATATAAATTTTAGACCTCCAAGTAATATAATGAATCAGAATTGGCATCTTAAGATTGCCAAGCAAGCTACACACATTTCAGTCTGAAAAAGAAAAACACTACTCAAGAGGCCACCGAGAGTAAGAAGGCTGCAGTTGAGGCTGTGCCCACTCCCACAATCAGCTTTTCTGCTTCTCACCCAATCTAAAGACACTTTGGTTTCATTAATTAGCTATGAATTTATTTAAATTTCTCTAACAGTTTCCACTGGCTGTAAAAAGGTTTGAAAACACTCATTTTAAAGGTAATTACATACTTTTAAGTAACTTACTCCATTGCAGAAAGATCCATGTCAACTTCCTCCCCATTCATCAGTGGGATTTTCTTCTTCTTATTCCTGTATTTACAGAAGCAAATTTGAAAACTGAGATTTCTAAATTGGAATGGAGCTAAAAAGTAGCCAATGTTCAAATAAAGGATTTCATACAACACTAAAGATATCCTAAGGAATGATAACTATAAGATTTTAAAACTAGAGGAAGTGAGTATCAAAATTTTTTTTTTTTAAAGGAAATTTTACTTTGGCTCCCTGAGTTTTTGGTCTATAGTTACTTGGTCCCATTGCTTTGGGCAAGGGAATGGAAAGCAGAAATAAATAATTAAATGTGTCGATTTAAAATATATTTATTCCCAAGAACTGGCTGGTACAATTTTACATAGAAAAACCCACGCGGGGGCTGGGGAAGTGACTTAGTGACAGAACATTTTCACAGTATGCAAAAAGTCTTGTGTTCGAGTCCCTGTATTGCAAAAACAGTGGGGAAAAAAAGGACGGATCAATAAAGAAATCCTTAATGATAAATCAGTAATACTCAGGCCTGAGATGAGCTAGAAATAATTCTAAATTAAATTGTGCTGTCTATGTGAGGCTAGCTCTTATATGAAATGAAATGATATAAAAAAACTCTTGAGAATTTATATGCAGGAGTATAACATCCATTAAGACTTAGGCCAAAAAAAAGCCACTCTTACCATGTAAATTATTTATCATTGAACTTACTGTATAACACACTAAAAATTAAGGAAAGACAAATAAAAACAGGAAATGAGAACTGTGTCCTCTAGGGTTACCCAAAGAAAATTAGAGGGGATAAATAAAAAAAAACATGAGGAAATGTTAGGAAAAAAGAACCAATCATTCATTTCCAATTCTAAGGTATTTAAGACAGAAAAATGGAGTTTTTACTTGAATTAAGGAAGATTTCCTCATAGCAAAAATGATCATAGGAAGATTTCATATTCAAGCTTTGGCTTTCAAGGTCAATATTCACATCTGTCTCAGATAAACTCAAGATACTCATGAAGACTTCAGTTCCTGAAATCTGAGATTAGTGCACATTCTTCCAGTAGAGTCCAGAATCTTTTCCTTCTCAGACTTCATGGTTGAATTACGTAGTAAAGGAAAGGCTATAAAGGCTATCTAAAGATAATCCTCTTTTTTGCAGAGACAGGGTGTCACCATGTGGTCCAAGTTGGCTCCTCAGTGCTAGGATACTAGGTATGCTAGCATGCCACCCAAATCAGGTGAGGTGGCTACTTTTCTTTGAAAGACGCCATGAATGCTGCATATGGAGGTGATGGCTCACTATGATTTTGATTGGCATTTCCCTAATAAATAACGGTGCTGAGTATTTTTTGATGGATGTAGGTTGCTTTTATGTCTTCCTTTGAGAAATGTCTACTTAAAACAATTACTCATTTTAAAACTTGGTTAGAATGGCAGCTATGAAAAACCACAAGTGGGCTGTTGAGATGACTGAACACCCGAGTTCAATGCCTGGATCCTACAGAAGGGGAGAACCAACTCTTGAAAGTTGATTTTGAATCTTCACACACTACCATGGCAAATGTGTGCCTGAGCACTCACATATCACAGAGAGAGAGAGAGAGAGAGAGAGAGAGAGAGAGAGAGAGGATAAAAGACAGGCAGCACTTGCAGCAAACCTTTATCCCAGCATTTGGGAGGCAGAGGCAGGTGGAGCTCTGTGAGTTCAAGGCGAGCCTGGTGTACAATGCCAGTTCCAAACCAGCCAGTGCTACACAGTGAGACCCTGTCTCAAAATACATACAAAACGAAACAAAACACCACAGAAAGGATAAAGTGACAGTAAGGATGCAAAGAAAAATCTTGTGCATTGTTAAGTAGGAATGCAAATTAGTACAGACATGGAAATCATTATGGAGGATTCAAAGAAATGAAAAGTAGAAAGAACTACCAAGTGACACAGAAATTCCACTATTTTGTAAATATCCAAAGGAAATCAAAATGCTGAAGAAACATCTGCACTTCCATGTTTTTATCAAATTTACATTTGTTCTTTGCCAAAGGGCTGACAAGCAATTAAGAAAAAGCAAAAGCAGAAGAACAGAACAGTTATGTCTGTCAATAGCTGAATGGATTCCTAAAAAGATGTGATGCATTCATCCAATGAAATATTAACTCAGAAATGAAAAGAATGAAATCTTGTTGCTACAGCACTGGACAGAACTGGTGGTCACTGTGCTAAGTGAAATAAGCCGGGCGCAGAATGACAAGCACCTCATGAAAAGGGGAGCGCTTTGATGTGGAATCTCAGAAGACTGGTGTCATAGAAGTTGAGAGTAGAATAGACTGCATGTCTGGTGACACTAGAGGAGGGAAAGATGGGGAACGGCTGTTCAATGGGTTCTATGTTATAGATGGAGGCAAGGTATTCTGGTTACTATTGTACAAGAGCATAAGGTCAGAGAAAAGCTTTGAACTATACATTTTAAAAATAAATTTTAAAATTACGAATATTTTCACCATAAAGAAATGTTTTAAGAAATAGGCATGTTAAACCTAATTTAAACATCAAACAACGCCCACATGTACTAAATCATCAAATGGTAACTCATTAATATGTACTTTTATGTATTTATGTATCAGCTTAAAAACTGTACCCTCGATGTTAATCATTCAGCAAAGAAACAAAAAGAAAAAGAAATAATAAGGTCTGGGGATGTGGCTCAGTTGGTAGTGTGTTTGCCTAGCATTAAGGATGCCCGGAATTCGGTCCCCAGGAACCCATGAAGCAGGCATGGTGGTGCACACCTGTAAATCCCACATTCAGAAGGTAGAGGTAGGAGGATCAGAAGTTCAAAGTCATCTCATAAAAGAAAAAGAAGCAAATAAAAATCATACTTAACAGGTGTGGGGGGGTCAGTAATGTTTCCAGTGAACTAAAAATATAATTATATAATTAATAAAATATGATTATATAATTAAATGTAAATATAATTGATGCTCTAATGAAATAAAATATTGTGCTCAGCAGTTAAGAGCATGTATTACTCTTGCAAAAACCTGAGTTCGATTCCCAGCATCCATGTCCAGCAGCTCAAAACTGCTACTAACTCCAGTTCCACTGAAACCTAAGGCCCTCTGCCTCTGGCGGGCACCTACACTCATGTGCACATATCATGCATATACCCCCATATAGACAGACACAGACACACAAACACACACACAAATAATTTTTAAAAAATAATAAATCTTCAAAAAATGTAATTATCTTCAGTTATGCACAAGTTGATTACTCGTTCAAGAATTATCATACATACATGAAAGTTACCCACAGAAAAGAAACTTTCCATAAAAAATATTCTGGGGCTAGAGAGATGGCCATCAAGCCAGAGGATGGAAGCTGAATCCCTAAGATTCACATGGTAGGAGAGATCTGACTCCTGAAGGTTCTCTTCTGACCTCTACACATATACCCTAGCCTGGGTATTGCCATACACATAGATCCATAAACAAATAAGCATAATAAAAATATTTTTTTTAAAGAAAAACTAATCTGGAGTTGGAGGGTAACACCAAGGCAAAAGAAAAAGACAATAAACAAGATCTAAATGATTGTTACATTTCGAGCTCCTTGCCTTAAATTATTGCTTTTCCAATATTTTTTGTAGACATCAAACAACACTAGTACAAATTACTACTAAGTTATCTGTTTTGAATTTTTTCAGCTCCAAAAAGAGGAGAAACTTCTACTCTCCTCTCCTCCCTCCCCACAAAAATAGGACCTCCAATCTAAATTTGACAAGTTACTTACAACAAGACATGGTGGTACAAACTTGCCATCCCAGCATTTAGGAGGCAGAGGCAGAGGCAAGAGGACTGCCAGAAGTTAGAGGCTAACCTGGCCTACACAGTGAGCTCCAGGCCAACTTACAATATTGAGTGAAACCCTGTCCTAAACATAAATAAATCTAGAAAAATATTTAAAAGCAAAGTTATGAGCAGTAGAAGAGCTGGTGTGGAGCCTACAGTCCCAGCACTCAGGAGATACAGGTAGGAAGACTGGAGTTGAAAGCCAGGAGGAGCTCACAGGAGATCCTGCCTCAGAAAACACCAAGGAATAGACAGTAAATCAAGAATGCTTGGTAAGGCGAACTTTACCACAGATAAAAAGAAACTGGTAAGATGCTGTTTCCAGACTCGTTTTGGCCATACAAAAGGATTTTTAGTGGGGCATTTCTATGAGATGTGTAGTTTCTTCTTCGGTTTATAGTTACGACTCAATGCCTACCTTCTGCTTTTAGAATGGCAGGGTATATCATGTTTAAGGCTGTTCTCTTCAATTTGCAATGTATGGTTGAAGGATCCATCTAATTCTTGCACTGTCACTTTAAGTGGTCCCTTAAAAACAAAAAAAAAGTTCAAATACCGCTAGAAAACTATCAATATGTATCCTTATAGGTAAAGCTAGGTATATGTCAAGATATAAAAAGAGGGACTGGAGAGATGGCTCAGCAGTTAAGAGCACTGGCTGCTCTTGCAGAGGTCCTGGGTTCAATTCCCAGCATCCACAGGGCAGCTAATGGCCATCCATAACTAGATAGCCAGGGGATCTGATACCCTCTTCTGTCCTCTGTGAGCACTGCACTTATATACATGCAGGCAATACACTCATATACTTAAATAATAAAATAGTTTAAAAAATAAATAAAATACTACACAAAATATGTGCTGATAAAAACAGAAAAGCAGCTGGAGCCAAGAGAGGGGCTACCGAGTCCTTCACTGACACATGGTATTTTCTCATCGTTGTCTACAGACAGGGCTCATCAAGTTTCTATCAACAGCTCCAGGTCTATGCCCTTGCTGTACAGGAACTGGGGAGAAAGCAGTGCAAAAAGCTCTCCGAGAGAAACACTCACCACATATTTCTGAGTTCCAGGAGATGTATAATCTTGTTTTATTTCTAGTTCTAAAACATTTCGTTTTCTATTAAATGCAAAGCTTCCATAAAATTTCACCACTCCGCTCTGGTCTCTGAAGAATTGTAAAGGAAATTTTGCATACTGAAATGAATATATGTTAAAAAAAAAAAAGTGACAATAATTACAATAATCTTCAAATGAATTCCCACCAGACCAAAGTTTCAAAGGACATATTTTAGAGGGAAACATATTCAAAATTCTTGTCAAAAATGTTTCCCAGACTTACCACTGAGGAGTTTGTATTCTGAAAGTATAGCTACGTTACTGGATTACAAACAGTAAAGAATTGCAGAGTTCCAAGATCTCATTCAAATTGTGCCAACTTCTAACCACATTTAACTCTTCTTACAAGAAATGTGATAGGATGTCTGCTAGAGTATTTACCTTACCTACCACTGAACCATGACTTTACCTATATACTAAAAGCTACTAATAAGATGCCAAATTTTATAAATATATGCACAACCCAGTGACTGGTAAGAGCTTTAGAACATATGATTTATACATCAGTTATTTTTACTCATTATTTCTATTTTTAGAAACATCAACAGATCACCCGGTTTTAGCCGTCCAAGTCCCCTCTTCATCTTCGTTCTGTCTTTGAAAAGGATACACCCACTGCTTTATTAAGGGCTGGATGTCTTTCCCAGAGACATTTGAAATGGACTTCAAAAACCCGTATGTGGAAACCAGCATCTGACTCCACATATGTGACTGGAACTTCTGAGATGAAGCAGTACTAGCCAGACTTAGCAGTTTATTGAAAACCTGTAGGGACAGAAGTTTCACTGAGTAAGCTCATATAACATTGCTTCTCTTTTTTCTTTTTTTAAAAATATTTCATTATTTTTACTTTATGTGTATGAGTGTATTGCCTGCAAGTATGTGAGTGCACCCACGTTGTGCAATGCTGCAGAGGTCAGGAGAGGGCTTCAGATTCCCCTGGAACTGGAGTTAAGGATGGTTTGTAGCTGCCATGTGGATGCTGGGAATCAAATCCGGATCCTCTGCAAGAGCAGTCTGACTGCGCTCTTTAATCGCTGAGCCATCTCTCCAGCCCCTGCTTTTCAATTTTGTACCATGTCCACTTTGCACTGTAACTTTATATAATCAATTACAGAAGACAATTTCATAACTTAGCAAGCAATAGAAGAACACATGTATTTAAATAGCCAGGACATGAGTATTGCTCATAAAATCATTACTGAATGCTAACACTGTATTAGCAGTGAGAGATAGTGGAGAGATATTATCAGTGAGAGATAGTGGAGAGATATTAGCAGTGAGAGAGATAGTGGAGAGATGGCTCAGCAGGTTAAGAGCACTGGCTGCTCTTCCAGAAAATACGGGATCAATTCCCAGCACCCAAATGGAGGCTAACAACTGTCTTAACTCCAGTTCCAGGGGAATTTGACACTCTCTTCTGACTTCTGCGGGCACTGCACAACATGGTTTACTTCCACATATACAGGTAATATACATGTAAAATAAAAATGTTTAGAGAAAGAACTAGAAGTACAATACATAATACCTACAATTTATTGTGCTACGTTTTATATAGGAATTTAAAACCTGGAATACTCATTATGAGCATAATACTCTCGTATCTTAGGTATGCAATATATCCCGAGTGTTCTTTCTCTGTTTGGGGGGGGGGGTACGTGGAACTGTAGCTCAGGGGTATGACATTTACTTAGCATGTGTGAGGCCCTGGGTGTGATTGCTAGCATCACAAAAAGTAAATTCATAAAAGAAAAAGTTAAGATACCACTTACACCATTTAAAAAAGTAGAATAGCTCTTTACAGAGCACTTTTCTCACCTTATGTTTCTGTTCTTCAATCTTTAAACATTAAAATGTTTAGATTGGGGCTGGAGAGACGGCTCAGCAGTTAAGAGCACTGACTTCTTTTGCAGAGGACCTGGGTTTGATTCCCAGCACCCACATGGCGGCTACGAACTGTCCTTAACTCCAGTTCCAGGGGAATCCGAAGCCCTCTTCTGACCTCCAAGGCACTGCACAACACGGGTGCCCTCACACACATAAGATAAAATACACTCATACACATAAAATAAAAAAAAAAATTTTTAAATGCTTAGATTTTTGTGGTATCAGAGATTGAACCCAGGGCTTCATGCATGCTAAGCAAGCACTCCACCAAAGAACTACATGACCAACAAAAATGATTTTTAAAACAGGATTTGATTTTGTTTTAACCTGTCTCTCTAAGAGTACTACCAAAGGCGGGGGGGGGGGCACTGACATTTTTAATGCATCTGCAGGGCTGGGACTGTAGCTCGGTGGTAGAGTACTTGCCTAGCATGTGCAAGACAATATGTTTGCTCTTCAGTACCTCCAAAAAGCGGAGAACAACAGAATGGAATAGGGGCAAAAATAGCAACTAAAAATAATACAAACAAAAAACTCCCAAACAATAACAAAAAATCCATCCGAAATAATCCGTCCATGTAGTTCATCTACCTGGCTTCTACAATCATCTCCTATATTGTAACTACTTATAGCAAAACAATTAAAAACATGGCAATTTAGAACAGAATATTAAAAAATTAAAAAAAAAGTTTTTTAGAATGGTGTGAATATTTGCCATTGCAAACATTTTGAAATCGAACTTCCTCCCCCATCTATGCACTGCAAAGCACAGCTACAGATTGCACAGGTGTCCTTTGCAGTCTCATACTCTACCTTTTTGTTTCTAACTTTCCCTTCAAAATAATCAGGTGCTGAGTCAGGTTCTAGTACCCATGTTATACCTGGGGAAATGCAAAAAAAAAAAAAAGCACAGGATAAAACCAGAGATGGTGTCACATACCTGTAATCTCAGTACTGAGGAAGAAACTGAGGAAGGAGGATTGCTCTAAGTTCAAGGCCAGCCTGGGCTATATGTCAAGACCATTATTCTCAGATAAAACGTTTACTAAATCACTCATTTCTTTTCTTTCCCTAATCCCCAGCTGGCTTAAAACTCACTATATAGACCAGGCTGGCCTTGAACTTACAGAGATCTACCTACCTCTGCCTCCTGAGTGCTAGGATTAAAGGCATGTATCACCAGGCCCAGCCCAGACTCTTTCTTTTTAATATAATTGTCCATAAGTATTTGACTTTTCCTTTTAGTTTTATGCATATTATATTCACCCCTATTACACTGTGAACCCTTCTTCCTACCTCGTCCAGGAAAGTACTAAATCATGAACTCCTCAGGAAGGGATGGGGCCTCATGGGCACCTCCTCTATCCATGATGGAAAATTGAAGTAATCCAGACTCTTACTCCTCAGAACAACACTCAGATCATATACACACATACAGATTTCTTTAACACTGTGATGTTTTTAATACTTGAGTGCTAAGTGTTTAGTACTTACCTGCAGCATAAACTCCATGCTGATTCTGTTCTCAATCAATCTCATCACAAGGTGAGCTTTACACTGAAACATGGTGTAGTACTCCCAGGACAGGGTGTGTGGGTGCTTTATTGAAAAGTGAAGATGAGATGCTGGGCTGACAAAACAAAGTAGAGTTGCTTAATACAACAAATCTGACTATTAAAGAAGAAAACAAGTAAGCAAAAAAAGAGATTTTTGTATCTACAGTAAACACACAAGCACTGGACGAAAATAAAGGAAAAATGTTCTGTCCATAATCCTGAAGCACAAAAATGTTCCAAATGAAAAGTACAAAATCTAGAGGACACAAAGAACAAAATGGTCATGTAACCGGTTCTTAAGAACTCTGGAAGTTATCAGTAAGTGAAAGGAACAGTGAAACAGAAAGTACAGATGACATATATAAATTTTTCAGCTGTTCAGTGTTTTTTACTATTCCAAAATGTTATGGTAATTTTTTAATAAGTATTTTTACATGACAAATGTCTACAAACAGAGTATCTTTAGGATCCTGTTCCTACGAGCAGAATTGTATCATCAGTATCCATTCGAAAATTCTGACGGGTGGGGGAGGGCTGCAGCAGTTAAAAGCATTGCTCTCGAGAGAACTCTGTCTTGGTTCCCATTACCCATGGCCTCCATAGGCATTGCATGCATGTGATGCACTACATGCACACAAGCAAAATATTCATATACATAAAATAAAAAGAAAATATTTTAAAAATAAGTTAAAATTCTGACTGGTACTAATTACCCATCAAAATCTGTCACACAATATTCTCAAAAATCAATGTCTATGTGGCATTTTCTCCTAAATTTACAGTGAAACTTAATCACCAATGAAATATTAGTAAAAGGTGTGGTCTCTGGGAAGTGATTATAAAACAAAGGTTCCTTCATGAAACAGAGGAGACCAAAAAGAAGTGCTCATGGCTAAATGGAGTGCCCTTGTCCTTCAATCCCTTAACATCATATGTGCAAACAGTGCTCCTCCCCTATGGAAGATGCCACAACATAGCAGAGAACAGCCCTCATTAGTCCTGCCTATACTTCAGTCCTGGATTTACCAGCCTCCACCTTCTCGGTGGTTAAAACCATGAGAAACGAATTTCTGCTGTTTGTAAACTGCCCCATGCATGGTATTTAGTTATAGCAGTATAAGCTAAAACAAGTCCTCTCAAAAAGAAATGCCATACTACTTGTGTACTTGCTTTTACAGAACACTAATTCAGTTCCCAGCACCCACGTCAAGAGGCTCACAACTGCCTCTTAACTGCAACTCCCAGGGATTAGATGACCTCTTCTGGCCTCTGCAGCTACCTGCACGCATGTGGCACACATTGAGACACAAACACATACATAAGAACAAACCTTATTAAAAAATGCTATACTTAAATTTCAAAATTTTTATCAATTTAGTATCAGTTAAATTATTTTTACTTATTACTTCCAAGTTCATAATTAGTAGTATGAACTTATAAGCTTTAGCAATACACAGTAATGTGGAAAAGGTTAAGTAAATTTCAAGATAAATGAAATACTATATACCTCTTAAATGGAATAAAAAAAAAAAACCTGTGTAACCACATAAAATGCATCACATATTGCCCTTAGTAACACCTGTTTCCTACTGTTCTTCTCTTTCAGGTTCTTTCTTTTCCTTTACCTCCCTGTTTCCTTTCCATTATCCTGGTTCCTGTAGTTATATGTGGATACACACTCACTTATCAGGGTTTGGTTCTAGGATCCACATATGAGGGAGAACACATGCTGTTTTTGTTTTTTGTTTTTCTAAGTCTGTGTTACTTCATTTAGTATAACAGTTTCTAGTTCCATCCATTTACCTGAAAATTTCATGATTTCATCTTTCTTTACTGCTGAG